GCCATGATGACTTTATCTATCTCTCTCTCTCTCTTCTCTATCTCTATCTCTCTATCTCTCTCTCTCTGTGTCTCTCCACTCTAACAGATGTGGACGAGTGTCTGGACAACAACGGTGGATGCCAGCAAGTGTGTGTCAACACCATGGGGAGCTACGAGTGTCAGTGCACGGAGGGATTCTTCCTCAGTGACAACCAGCATACCTGCATCCACCGCTCTGATGGTAAGGCTGGAGCAGAGAGACAGTACTGTGAGAGAGTTGCTTTCTTGCAGTTTCTGGAAATAATTCGCTTGAAAGAAGCAGAGAGAACATGTAGCTTTATTTCTGGGTTATATAATGTTATTTGATGCTTGTTGCTCAATGTTTAACAAAATACAGGGATTACATTGTCTACAATGCTTTGGGGTAACTGGATCAGTTTGCTAGAATGACTCAAGGATGTGACAAAATATTTATTTATTATAGGTGGAGTGAATTCATGCAAAGTCATTGGACAGATGGGTGCTGATTTGGTGAAAAATTAAAGGGCACAGCCACGGGCCCCAACCCCTGTTAATATTAACAAAACACCCAGAATCAAACAGTCACTTTAAACAGAGGCCAGACCATGATCCCTTGGGCCCTTGGGCCTGTGCCCACTAGGCCCATCCATGCTTATTTGAACTCTGAGAGGTACACAGATTTTTTCATGTATTCCAGATAACTACTGGTGTCTTTAGGTGGATAAAGGTTTGTTTTGGTTTTATTTTTGTTTTTATTAAGACGAGAGTGAAATAAGAGCCTATTTTTTCTGATAATGATAAACATTGGAGCAAAGAATTGTAGTACAAGGGGAGACTACAAGATTATTAGATACAATACCGGGCATGTTGTTGCTGTTACAGCAGGGCTCTTGGGGGGTCACTGTGGACCGGTCAACCACTTTGGTCCAGACTGAAATTTCTTAACAACCTGGTTAGATGGGTCGCCATATTATAAGGTGCAGATATCCCTGAATGGATAGATCCTAATGGTTTTGGTGATCCCCTGACTCATCATCTAGTGCAGGAAGGAACATTTGTGGTATTGAGTGTAATATCTAATAACAGCTATTGCATGGATTGTCATGATATTTGGTACAGACATTCAAGTCCCACTGAGGATGAATTTTAATCACTCAAGTGATCCTCTGACTGCATATATAGCACCATTATCAGGTCAAACTGTAAATTTGTAATTTATGACCAAATGACTGCAAAACTAATGACATTCCCATCATCCTCAGCTATAGATTGTGTTTATTGCTTTGAAGAAAACATGCTATATTACTATGGAGAACATTATAAGCATTACACCTGCTCAAAAATCAGCATTGCAGTTGTTAGCACGTTAGCATGCTAAATTGTTTGGTCTGGGCCCTAAAAACCTCCCAGCAGTCCAAAACACCTGTGCTAGTGGTATAACACTCGCCTGGTGCTCAGAGCTCCCAGTCAGGACAAGGCTAACTGAGCTAACTAGCTAACAGCAGCTAGAGTTAGCAGAGTTAGTTACTTTACTGTCCATCAGAAAACGCTGTACATCACAGAGAGTTGAGTTTCACCAAAATCAGTGGTGGTGTGTGACATAGTGCCGTAAAGCGCTACGCACTTCTCGCGGGAGATTTTACCTGACAAATAGTGCAAGAATAGGGTTTTGGAGCACCTAGTGGAAATGTCAGAGGCACCATTCTTCCTATTACAATCCAGTGCAAAATAATTTTTAAGCTGTTTTAAGCTTTGAAGGTAAAATTGTGCATTGTGTTGCGTTAAAACATTCCCTTCAGTAACCTATGGTTCATATCCCAAACAATACAGTCTTGTTTTCTCCAGGGGACTGTAAAATGGCTTGATCACTTACATGCTGTCATGGCAGTTTGCAGGGGGCAGTCTCATTTTCAAACATTATTTACATATTTGCTCTTTGTTGTCCACTCAGCACCTCCTAAAATGTAAAAAAACCTAATCTCCCATGTGTGTGACTTTCTGGATCACAAGGAGACGTGGGATTTGAGTGCACTGACATCATGCCTCTGGCTTGGCCAGTCGCCCTCCACACCCACAGTGGCAATGCCAGACAGGGCATGATATGTGACTTGTGACATGCACGTTTGACATACATTTCATGCCGCTTGTATTTCTTAAAATTGCTCGACCCCACTACCCTGGTATCCCCGACCCATTACGTCTGTCACATTAAATTAATGGGCTCAGTCTGTGGCGGCAAGGGGTGCTGAAGGAGAGGGTGATCCCAAGGTGAAGAGTGGTTGCTTTCTCCTTCCCTTTGTACTCACACATGCATTCTCTCAGCACAATACTCACATGTATGCAGCCGTGAATGGGGACAGTGTGGCAATCAAGTTCAAAGACAGACGAGAGGACAATCATCTGTCATGTTTGCAACAGCACAAAAAACGGTAAGTAGAAGGAATGTGCTGTAGGGTGAGGACAGAGGGGGAGGAGTGCGAGATCAAATAGAGGAAGAGGAGGCAAAGGAGTGACCTCTCCTTTATCCTCTCCCTCTTTACCCTGGGTGCGCACAGTTTTGGTGTGGTCAGTGTGAAGGCGTGTTAGGGGGCAGTGTCAGGATGTTAGAGGATTCTTTGTGGAGAGAAAGAGGTGAAAGAGGTGCAGAAATAGACGCGTGTTTGCTCACTGGAAAACCCCATAAACCAGCATGTGTATACATCTCCCTTTCCCCCTCTCTCTTCCTCTTCCTTCAAAACTATTTCTGAATGTTTTGAGATAGCTCACAAGGGGGGAAACAAATTCAGGTGACAGCCATTGAGAGTTCCTCTTACTTTGCTTCTCATATAGATCTGGATATATGTTAAATCAAAGCAGTTACTGTGTTAATGTGTATTCCTGCTCCTGTCAGAGGGATGTTCACGGTAAACAAGCAGTGAAGATGCTTGTGGTATAGTCCTGTTGCCCTGCTCTGGCAGGCCGTTCTCAGCCTTTAACCACCAGCACACAGCCCTCCATCTGGTCCAGAGATCCTCAATCGACACTTGTCTCCTCTCTCTCTCCTGCACAGGAATAGCTGCAGCATCCTGGTGTCCCACAGGAATCTTCTTGCGCACTTTTTCTTTCCATCTCCCCGACCATGGCTCACTTGCCAAATGTCCAATCAGAAGACTTTTGCTCATGGCTAGTGGCACGCACCCATTCCTTCTTCTACCATTCATGTCAAGTGTGAAAACTTGACGGTACTCGTTTTTCTAAAGTACCACAGGTACTGTAGGTACCAGGGATGCAGTTGCCACAGAAAGAGGAACATGTTGAAGACAACGACAAGTGCAGCTGTTTAGGTATTTTACTCGCAAAGCTTTTGTGCACAGTGCTCCAACAAACACAGCAGGACACTTTGAGGGGAGAGAGAAACTCCCTCTAGACGACCACAAGATCAAAAAAGGTTACAGAGAGAGTTTGTTAGGCCATTTTATTGCCCACTTTGTTATTTAGTGGTATAAGTATAAAAAAACAATAAGGAACAGTTTGAATGCAGGCATTTTTCTCTTAATGCCATGCAGAACTGTTAACCTGTATTATTAAAGAAGACAGTATTGGATCAGGACTCTATATCAGCAGATACTCAATATTAAATGGGTATCAGGGACAAAAAAATGTGATTAAGACATTTTTACCATGGTATCAAATTGGTATCGAGAATCGTGGAATTTCACTGGTATTGGTATTGATTACTAAATTTCTGGTATCGTGATATCCCTAGTAGCTTGTACTCAACAAACACTATCAGCTCGCAGAAGCCTCTTCCTTCCACAAAGTTTCACTCAGTGCGTTGAATGAATACTGATGTCCAAACAAGAGTGCATGCTCATAACGTGTACATCGATTGACATGTACATTGCAGGCCTTCTTCAGGAGGTCAAACTTGCCGCCACATTCTTCTTACATCTTTTCCCATTGTGGAACCTGTGGAGAGTTAAATACGCCAGAGCGTTGAACTGGCTTGTATGTGATGATGTGTATCCTGGCAGGTGAAAGCCCGCCTGCTGAGGACGTTTAGCAGGAAATATAGACACTGTGGATCTCACCTTGACGTGTCATTTTCACCACAACTGCAACAGTAGGGAGTTCTGGGCTACAACCAACGTCCCAAATTATAGTTGAGTAGATACAAATTATTGCACTGTTATTGCAACTGTTTGTATGTGCGAGGAGTGTGTGAGAAGGAGAGATTGTTGCTTTGCATATGGTAAGTGTCAGCTCGCGGCTCATTTCTTTCTCCCTGACACTCGCCTGGGGGATAATAAAGCCTAGCAACAATTGTTTGTTCCATTATGGTGTGTTTCCACTCTGTTGTGCTTCACAGCTACGTCTGAAGCACATCTAGGCAAGAACCAAGACTTTGGCCCCTGTGAGCTCCCGGCATCGAGTTGGGAAACAGCTCTCCTAGCAATTGTTCCTGATCTGTCATGATGTGGGAGAGCTATGACCACATGAGTCAGGTATGGCTCACAGGCCCAACGGTGACATGCATGTAGGATGGAGAAGCTCATTTCCATTTTTGGGGGAAATTTGAGGATCTCTAAAATGGAAGATTTGGCTTGTCAGCAAAAGTCTTGGGTTATCTACTAGGCTTTGAAAAAGGATAAAAATGTGTACTCTGTTGATGCCATGAATAATTTTATTGTTGGTGTCATTTAATAAAAACGGTGAACGTCTCATTTAATGAAGCTCCAGTTGCTTGCAGTTGTGTGTGATTTGCAGCAGCAGTGCAGAGGTTGATTAGTTGCAGTGTAGTGTTAGATATCAAATTGATGCCTCAGAGTTGACCGGGTCTGTCTCCATGTCTGATTTATTAATTGTGCCTTTTGGACAATGTAGCCACCGCCAAAACAGAGTGAAAACAATACGCTTGTAAATTCTTCTCTGAGCTTAACACCGAAGTTCCTGGCAAAGTTGGGAGTTGGCAGTAAGCTGGGAATTTTTAAACACCATCTCACGCGGACGCCATGCCTGACGTTCCAAGAGAATGTTTGGTCGCAGGAGTGTCTGTGGACTATGGAACACAATGACTAGGTGATTCTTCATAGTGGACTGTGGGCAAGAAAAATAAACCATTTGGATCAGAAAACAATTGAGAAAAAATCCTTACACTGTCAGTGTTGTTTTATTGTTATTTCTCAGATGCCCTTCTGCTCGAGTTTTCCCCAACAGAAAGATCATTAGGCGGCTGCTCAG